AGAGCGGGAAGGTACGAGCTTCATTACCATCCTCTTCGAAGATCGCGGAGGTAGCATTGCAGGACTTGCCTTTACCCTTTCTGGTCGAGGAAGTCGTCCACTGATCGTCTTCAATAAGATCAGGATGGACCCAGAGGATTTCGTCGTTTGGGGTTGTGTGTGGTACAAGTCCTTTTTGGCGCTGTCCATGTGGGTCGTCGTTCACCATCTTCATTCCTATTTTGATGATGCGCTCTGGTTTAAACCATGTTGTGGGCACCGATCCAAAGCTGATTGATACTGCATTTGCTCCGACATTCTTGGACGGTTTCAGGGTTATAACGCCTACATCAATTAACGCCTGGATCTTATCTTTGAGATGGTAGCATGACTTGGTAGGGTGATGGACCGTTCTATGGTATGCGCAATATTTCGGATCCGTCACTTTGCTAGTCCCTTCTTGGTCCACGATCGACGACAGCTGAATTTTGTTATTCTCCAATAGGTACTTAAAGATGCCGGGAACTTCGTCATCTTTGAAGGAGTACACTTTAGAAAATCTTGGCTCCGAAGATTTCTGCTTCTGAGGCCGTTGTTGCCATTGCGAACGAGATTGTTGTGGTGCTTGTTGCTGTGGCTGTTGCTGAGGTTGCAATTAGAAAGTTTGATTAGCATCAACTGCATTAGCATGTGCCTTACCTTTCCCTCGTGGGACGAAATTCTGCTGTGAAGCATTCGTCGCCTGTTGGTCTCTTTCCTCCTTCTTCCTTCTGAGGAATCGTTCGGCTTGCTCTCCTTGGACCTTCAAATCCTTTCATGTTTTGGACGGTGCTGTCCCCATTGCTTCCAACACGTCCAATGCAAGGTTATTGTGGCAAGTCTGGAGAATGAACTCCTCAGTGATCGGGTCCCGACAGTTCATCGCCTTGTTCCGGAACCTTTTGACGAAGGTATCAACCAACCGATGGATATCTCGGTGTCATCGTCGAAGAAATTGGTGAGGAATTTAGTCTCCATGTCGTCCCAGCTATTCACACTTCCTGGTTTGAGGCGGCGATACCAATCGAAGACGGCTCCACGAAGAGTGCCAACGAAGGACCGTACCATCAGAGGCTCATTACCAGAGATAACCCCTAGGTGTGATTTGAAGTAAATTAAATGCTGAGTGGGTGAACCCTTCCCATCAAACGGCTTGAAGTTAATTAGATTGAACTTCGTCGGATACGGGATTGATTCCCATTCTCTTGGGTATGGATAAGGAATGCCCGTCTTCTTCATCTCTTGAGCGGAAATCAGCGTATTGATTTTGCTCTCGAGGTTTTTAATCTTCAAACTTTCACCTGTGTTTTCGCTAGCATTCTCGTTACCACCTCCTGCATTGACGGGAGGATTATTGGCATTATGAGCTTCATTCACACCTGTGTCCTCATCTTCCTGATTAACCTGGTTACGACGACTTGGTTCGTCTTGCTGATTTGTCAGTGCTTGGATTTGTTGGTCATGCATTTCTCTCATATTCTGCATGGCCATCTGTATTTCGAACCTGAAGCTCTCCTGTTATTTAGCCATGGCTTCTTCGAGCATCTTGGCCACTTGTTCCGCACTTATCATAAGTGACTCGCGGGGTTGTCCCTCGCTGGATACCGTATTATCTGATACGACCGCCGAGCCGGCATCCGATTCTTCATTTTCTGAAGATAATCTTGTCCGGATCCTACCATAAGTTGCTCGTATGATGGCTCCAGACTGCAGACGTGTTATACGTCGGGGTACTTCTGAAATCGACTCGGGATTATTCCGTGCCGATGCCCCTTTGTTGGTCATATTAGTGGTGACCCTCGGAAATTCTCCGTCTTCAACCACCGCTCTCCTTCGTCGGAAATGCCTAGGCCTTGGTTTTGGCGTTTCGGTACTGAGCCTTTCGAAAACCAAAATTCTCTCGGGGACTGTATTGGTGTAGTTACACTCCAACAATACTGTCTGAATGAGTTTGGAACAGGGGCATTGAGTTTCTAGTTCTCGAGGACTCCTTTTCCTGGTTTTACCCGTACCCCCAACACGATAGTACAACTCGTCTGCTTGAAGGTCGGAGTAACCTATCGTGTGTTGGCACGACTTCTCAGGTATAACGTTATCGTCGTCAGACGATAATGTTTCCTTCTGAGGGCGAACGGTCTTCCTTGGGCTTTCAAAAGTCACGCGTCTCGAAACATGTCTTTGTGGGTGTGAATTCTCAGCGGGCTCCTGGACTTCAATGCGCAAATTGGTGCGCCTAGCTGCCCTGATCTCTTTGTCATGTTGAGGGTGGCGGCGACTCCCAACATGTTGAGTTGTTCGGGGCTTCTTTATCGGGCCCAAACGTTCTTGAACTAGAGCTTTGCATCGTCCATCGGGAAGTGGACCGAGGCGCTCCAAAACTGACTTCTTTCTTCGGGATGATTCTGCGTGATCTCCCGGAGTAGCCATGGGAATTATCGGCGATTTAGGTTGGTTCGCCGGAGGTTGAACTTTTGCTGAAGGCTGCAAAGGTTGCCCTTTAGTCTGAATTGTCACTTCAGACTTCGGCCTCCAGACTTGGCGGGTTGGTGGCGGTTTTTTGGCCACTTCCTTCTGCAGTCTTCTGCAGGCTTCTTGGACTTGAGCACGTGCTTGCGCTGACAGTGCGCGGTGCTTACGAATGTGCTCATCAAGTGTTGAACGATTCCGTTTGACACGGATCCATTCATTCGTTGGCGGCTTGGAGGAGCTGTCATTCATTGTTTGTTGAGGAGATTACAACTTTCCTTCTTTCGGAACAAATCGCAAGATCCTGTTTTGCGGTCTCTTGCTTGTGTGGGTTTTTTGACTGGTCGGGGTTAATCCGTGGACCACCGCGCGATCTTGATCCGGTCGGATCTACACGGTATGACGGGTGCTAGCTGTTTGCCTCTCCTGTTCTTCAGATCCGCGTTATAGCGGACTCCGTCAGTGGACTCCATCGCCTTTGCAAATTGCCGCGTCAGGCGTTGACGTCGCCTCTGACGGGCTCTCTTTGAGAGAGTCACAACGCCCTCAACGACGGAGGAATTGGCAGGAACAGATTTGACCTGGTTGGAGGTCGGTGGAGCTTCACCCGATGCAACTTCGGCATCAATTGGGGTGAGATCTTCGTTGGCATTCTGCACTTCTTCATACCAACGAACTTTTCTCCTGGAGGAGAACTTCTTGACTTGCCGGGGGAGCGTGGATCCGGACGAGGATGACAGATACTCTTCGAACTTTTATTGGTAGAATTCGTACTCGACCTCCTCTCCGACTGGATTGAGATCCGCGGCTGCGACGCAACGATCTCGGCAGCGAGATCGGTAGCTCCCAACTGTGATGCCAGTTTGTTCGCGGGGAAAATCGTCTTTATTGCATGTCATTGTTTTCTTAAGCTAACAGTTTAATCGGTTACAAAAGGATCGTCTTTTTATAAGATCCGGTTACAACAAAATCAAACAAAGAAAAAAAAATTACAACTTTCCTTTTCTCGAACAAATCGCAAGATCCTGTTTTGCGGTCTCTTGCTTGTGTGGGTTTTTTGACTGGTCGGGGTTAATCCGTGGACCACCGCGCGATCTTGATCCGGTCGGATCTACACGGTATGACGGGTGCTATTTTACAAAGGAAATAACAGCCGAGGGGATTATATCACCAAGAAAATAATAGCCCTAAGTAATCGAAATCGACCAAGCGAAATCAATACTCTTCTCGGGATCAAAAACCAAGTTTTGATCCGGAGGATGACCGTGTAGATCTCAGATCTGATCTCTCTCGAACTCCTGCCTTATTTGGCGTGGATGATCGCCAAGAACCAGATCTGAAAAGTCCGAGTCTTCAAAGCTCCAAAGCTCCAACCTTTTTTTTAGTCTTGAGCCTTTAATCCAGCAGAGTTTCCCCTCAAAAGTCCCAACCTCCCAAAACAATGAGCCACCAAGCCTATTTATAGGCATTTAGAACCAGATCTGGGCTCAGATCTGGGCCCAGATCTGGGCTTGACCCAGGTGGCTCGGCCACCCAGGTGGCTCGGCCACCGAGCCCCTCCCGGTGCCCAGGTGGCTCGGCCACCCAGGTGGCTCGGCCACCCAGGTGGCTCGGCCACCCAGGTGGCTCGGCCACCCAGGTGGCTCCCACCCGAGCGGCTCGGTTTTGGCCGAGTCCTCCAGGTGTTTGCCATTTTGTCGTTTTCCGGTTTCGCGGTTTATCCGAACTCTGATTTGTTGATCTGGACTCTGATTTGGCAGTCCGGATCCTGATTTGGCAGTAAATCCGCTTGGGTGTTTAACCTCGTCGCCAAGTTAATCTGCTTCGTCGCATCTCACTTAGCTTCGATGTTTTGGTCTAACGATCACGTTTGGATACATCGCCCGATGGTTCGTTGGTTTGTCGAATCACCGTGCCGAGCTGTGTTAAGGAACCTATAAGTAGTTTTATACGCCTACAATCCCTTCATGATATCATTTCAAAATACATATCAGAATAAATTTTCATAGAAAAATAACGATTTCTTATCTCTCACAATTTGATATTAAAGTAAGAATATAAATCATTAACATGTGATGGATAAATTTGTACAGTGGATGCAGTATGAATGCTAGAAAGCTTTATACACACACACATGCGCGTGCGCGTGTGTGTGTGTGTGTGTGTGTGTGTGTGTGTGCACGCGCGCGTGCGTGTGTGTGTTTACATGTATATGTGTACATATATATACATATATACATGTGTGTGTGTATACATATATGTGTGTGTGTATATATACATACTGCTAGAGAGCTTGATAAAAACATCATGGCATATGACATTATTGCTATATATTTACATGATATTATATGGAAAGTCTAGTCAATGATGCTGCTTCATACTGTTGCATAAATATTGTGGAGATATCAGTAAGCATAATGCACATATTGCTAAATACACTTTGGAAACTGTAGTGTTCTGGGTATCAGCATCGTCATCCACATATTTCTCACTGTATTTTTTTTTATTTCTGAAAGAGGTGGCGAGATGTCAACTAGGGATTTGCAGAAAATGGTTCAAGCTTTGCCACAATACAGTGAACAAATGGAAAAAATCTCTCTTCATGTAGAGGTTAGCTCTTTACACTCTAATTTTGTATACTGTAATTCTTTTTTTACATATTTCAGTCCTTATGTGGCTTTCTTCAACCTGCAAGTGTATTCAGTATCCTCCTCTCAACAAAAAAAACTTATGCTTTCTTTATGGGCATTGTTTCTTAGTATGTTATTATGAAAATGGAGGTCAGTGACAATCAGTGCCTATGGAAACAATACAACAAAGCTTTATACTTACTAAATCTACTTGGGGTAACCAGTTATGTTGGAAGCAAAAAAGTTTGTGTGATGGCATGGAAAGATGGTCAATGTGTTCGCATATGTTTGTGTACATTATTATATGTGTGTATATGCATAGTGTATCCGTGTGTGTGTGTGTTTTGGTGTTTCTCTTGTACCATGTCATAGCAAATGGGGAAGAGAGAGAATAAGCATGACAAGTTTGAACATTTTTAGAAAATATCATAATAGTGTGAAACTTTTTTATTATTATCAAGAGTTTGCCTCTGAACATGTAAGTGCCCATTTTCTCCTCGTTAACTTAGCATATCAAAATATATGTATGTTTAAACACGTATTGCTCATTGTCATATTATGATGACAGTAGGAACAACCTAACTAGAATTTTGGTACAACAATATTTATTCTGTTGCCATCTATTTATACGAATACATGGTTTTATGTAGGGCATAACTGCGGATAGACCCCATGTAGTTCTATTTGTGTGGATAGACTCCTTGTACTTCTATTTGTCCAGATTGTCCCCCTGAGTGATCTTTTTTTACTATTTTAAGAGTAAAAAGTTCACTTGGGCGATCTATCCGCACTTGGGAAAATAGTACAAGTGGTCTATCCACACAAAGAGAACTGCAGAGGGTCTATCCGTAACTAGGTGATAGTATCGGGGGTATATCCGCAATTAACCCTTTTTTATAGAGTGAGACATCAGATTTGCATGTTTATGAGTGGGTAGATTTCTGTTTTTCAAGGGCACTAGTATTATTTTGTTCTTCCTTTTTCACTGTTTTATGAAACTATCTGGTAGCTAAACATATTAACCAATAATCATGTTTGGTAATGTTGAAATTGGATAAGACACAACACTCTATCTGCCAGTTCTCCCAGTTGTGGCTAGTAAATTATGACAATATTTATTTTCTTATTCATGGCTAAATAATTGTTGTGAAGTATGGATAACAATTATATACTTAGCGCTTAATTGTTCTTTCTTCAACTAAATATGATTAAAGAATAAATATTATACCACAGTGAGGATGTACATGTGTAGTTTGATCTTGCTAAGTTGGTTTTCTATTGCAATAAACAAGCCAAACATGTTACATTGCCTCTAATTTCTGAATCTGATCATGTCTCCTCTTAAGAAGTTCTCTATCTCATCATCTTTCCCATATGAAGGTTTAGCAAACTAAATTCGTTTCAATGATTGATTAGCCCAAAAAGGTTTAGAGTGTGTTACCGGAGTCAGTAATGTGAATATATAAGAATATCTCCTTTAACTTATCATTAGTGTTGATGCAGATTGCAGGAAAAATCAATCAATTGATCAGGGATCTGGAACTTCGAGACATTGGACAATTAGAGCAGGATCTTGTCTTTGGGGATGCAGGAGCAAAAGAAGTGATCAACTTTTTACGGACCAAGCAGGTTGCATACATAACTGAGATGGAGATGTTTATATATCATGTTATAAACAAAAGCTTCTAATCATCATTATTACATAATTACCTTATTTTGCAGGATGTCTCCCCTGAAAATAAATTGCGTCTGTTAATGATTTATGCAGCCGTTTATCCAGAGAAGTTTGAAGGTGACAAAGGTGTAAAGTTGATGCAGGTATTCAAACCTGTCTCTTTAGAAAAACTAAGTTTTCTGTTTTCAATTTTATTACAATTTTCAATAATCTTCTTCTAATTAGAGGTTATTGACACTTATTGACTCATAGTAAGTATAGTTTCTAAGATGCACAACATCTCACATCCAACAAGATTGTAAATTTTGTCTCTAATTATTTCCATACGTTCTGTAGAGTTTCCAATTTAAGAATCTAACTGCTCCAATTCATTTTCTTTGAATTGCAGTGTGAAATTTAAAAAGTAGAACAGCAGGAACGATTTAATTTGGATGGTTTTTGTAGTCTGAATCTATTAGGCCGTCAGTAAATGGCTGGCTGACATATCTGCTTGAAACTTATGTACATGCTTTATGCAAGGAAAAGGGAATTGAGAAATGGAGGTTAAAGAAATTTCTAACTGAGAGAGAGTTATCTGCGGGACCCTTTTATTGAAGTGGTGTCATCTGCACGTCAACCAAAAATAATTCTCTTTCCTCCCAAGTTATCATCATTTTGGTCTAGCTAGCTACGGAATCAAAAAGAAAATGCAAAACAAAGTAAAGTCTGGGTTGAATAGGTAGCAACTAGTGACGTGTTATTTGCCAATATATCTTACCTTCTGACTTTTTGCCAGATGCTGACATACTTTTACCATTCTAAAATAGAAGCCTCAGAAATATATTTCAGAAATTAAATAAAGTATTGATGAAAGTTGATTTGCATGATGGATACTCGACCATTATATCATAATTATTTGTATTCGTACAAGATTAGTCAAACCTATATGTAGCGTACATGAAGAAAAGAAGTACATGAGCTGGGAGAATTTCCTGATACAGGATACAGGCAACATAACTGTACTGCTTTCTAACCCTTGTCCTAGATTTTTCTTTTCAGATTTAGGAGAACTCATTTAATACTTCTTAAATAGAAGGTTTCAGGGTAGCCTATTTGGAGAAATGCCAGATTTTAATCATCATATAGGAGAGGTTACAGCTAAAGTAAGCCTAGCAGTTACAGTAGTTCATCTTTTGCAGGTTTCCTGTTGCCTTGAAGATGGTTTTCTTCTTTTCTTTGCCTACTTCCCTCCCTAAGTCCCTTGCTACAGGATGGACACAGGGCAAGGATTGCTCTGACCCTGTCAGGTTAGAGAATAGGAAGACTCTACAATAACTACTGCTTGAAGAATAGGAAGCACACGTTTAATATAGTTGTAGGTTTCCATTAACATTTGATTTTCAATCCTACAATAAAGACTACATAGAATGTGCTGTTCATATTGTTATTCCATGCCCTCATGTAACAGATTACTTTAACTATTGTTGTTGTTGTTGTTGTTGTTGTTGTTGTTTTTTGCAAGTATTATTTTTTTCCATTGTTGACATTTATGCGGGAAAGTCCCTATACGTGCACATGCACAAGGCACAATGTGATCTGCTCCCCTGAGTGAAGAGAGGTGCACACCACACACATAATTTTACAATATAGATAATCAAGCATGTAGGAACATGTTTTTCTTTTTTGGGGTATGGTTATTCGATATAGGGACATGATTGAAATGTTAAAGAACAAAAATATGTAAGGGTATGTCTTGTGTACACCCTGTGATGCGTCATCACACAGGTCACTTGCAAGGTGCAAAATGGTGTTGCCGCCTCAGATGTGAGGCGCTTAGCCACCGCCCTGCGTGGCAGGGCGCAAGAGGCGCAGTGGAGCACACGCCATTGATAATACCTGTATGTCCATTATTTATTATCTATTTTTGTTCTCTTTTGCATAGTCAGATATTCATCTTGCTTCTGTTATTTAGAAGATGGACCCAGAAGCATGAGTGCACCAGCTTAAGTTGCAGCTTAGAGTTCGAATTCATTTAGCGTGTCTGTTAGACTTTCATAGGAGTGCTTTGGTTTCTCTTTTCTTTTAACTATATTCAACCTTTTAGCGTACCATTCCTTATAAGTTTGAAAGGAATATTTGTGGGCAATAAGCAGATTTAGTCTTTATAGATAAATACTGCATTTTTATGTCTTTCACGAGCATAGCATCAAGCTTTTGGTGCATTTTCGTAGGCAGACCATTGATATAAGGTTTATAATTAATTTTGGTCAGTTTTATATTATCTTTATGGCTCTTTATATTTCTATCATATATTATCTTCAAGTAGCATTACGATAATGTATTTTTATATATCCTTCCAGCTTGCAAAACTATCTCCGGATGATATGAATACTGTTAGTAACATGAAATACTTGGGAGGATTAGATTCCAAAAAAGCATCTGGAGGAGGATTCTCTCTCAAATTTGATGGTCAGAAGGTAAAATTGTTGAAGCTTGTCAAACGCAGACTTCTATAGTCCCCGCACCCCCTTTTCTTTTTTCAGGACAGTTTTTTATGTTCTCAATTCATTTATATGTCTACCAGAAAAAGCATGCGGCTAGGAAAGAACGAAGCGAAGAGGAGGAATGGGCATTATCAAGATTTTATCCCATGATAGAGGTAATGTTATGTTACAAACCGCAACTTTAAAGTATTCTTAGGTTACTCGAGAGAGTATACCATGAATGTGATAGAGCGATTCACCAAAGATGACTTTGGATCTCTCTTTTTTTTTCTTTCAGAAATATAGCTTTTTCAGATATCTATGTTTTCTGTAGGAGTTGATTGAGAAACTTAGCAAAGGAGAACTGTCCAAGAATGAGTACCCATGTATGAATGAACCTAGTTCTCCAGCCCCTGCAACCTCAAGTAGTAGTCCTGCACAATCTGCTCAAGCCTCTTCTATAAGATCATCTTCAGCCCCTGCCCACTCCATGAGATCACGGCGGACTGCAAATTGGGCTAAGCCTCGCAATTCGGATGATGGATGTTCAAGGTACTTAATTGAGGCAGCAATTTTTCAATTGAGAAATGTGTGCGTGTGTGTGTGCGTGTGTAGTAAAGTTAGAATAAACTTAAGTTCATTGATATCTCTATCCATGAACCTCTTTATACATTAGACTTGTTTTGAGATTCGTGTAGTCATGTGATACACATCAAAGCACATATCTCAAATATAGCATTGATGTGTATGACACATAGGCATGGATCTCAAAGGAAATCTCATGGATAAAAAAGTTGGTGGATAGAACTCTCAATCAACTTAAATTATTCTAGATTTACTCTATATGTGTGTGCGTGTCTGTGTGTGTGGGTGACACATCCAAGCTACTGTAATTCAGATCATCAACATACTTAGATCATAGGTAATAGCTTGGGTGGTGTGTTGCTGACAATATAACCCTGATCATCAATGTACCTAGTTAAGATGTCTGCTACAAACACACACCAACAAACATTTTTGGAGAGACACCATTACTCATTTACTCACATACATACTGTTGGGGATTTGAAATAATCAAATCAAATCCGTACCCTTCCGGATCTTGTGTTTGAGAGTTGAGCAAGAAAGAAATTCACCACAAATCAAAAATAAAAACTTGTAGGAAAGTAAACAAGAAAGAACACACCAGATTTAACGAGGTTCGGCAACGTGTCTACGTCCTCGGGAGCCACACCACACAATTCTTTGATTACTTGAAGAAGATTACAATGCTTGCAATTGGCCTCTCTCTCTAAGATTTCTAACCTCAAAGAGCCCTCAAAACCCTCTTTTTTTCGTGCTCTTTTTCTCTCTTAAACCCTAAAGGGACGTGTTTCTATTTATAACAAAATACAATCCCAAACAGATTAGGATTCTAAAACGAGTCTGCCACACCCTGGTGTGGCGCAGACCACACCCATGGCAGACAGGACACTCTGTCACACCCTGGTATGGCGCAGACCACACCCATGACAGACATGACAGACTCTGCCACACCCTGGTGTGGCGCGGACCACACCCATGACAGATAGGGCAGATTCTGCCATACCCTGGTGTGGCGCAGACCACACCCATGGCCTGTCTTAAAGTTTCATGCAATTGTTGATTTTGATTCTAGGTTTGGGTCTCCACTCTTAAGACCAATAATCTTCCACTTGGAGATCAAACCACCATCAATGAGCTCTCCCGAACTCCGCCTTCTTCGCAAGCATCTTCTCCTACTTGAAAAATCCATTCTTCAATCATCAATATCCCAGCGATCTCGCCGATTCTCGTAGTGTGGCTCCGCCTTCGTCTTCTACTCGTGAAGGCCAACTGAAGTTGCGCACAACTCCAGTTTCTTAATGGTGACTGTTTTCGTCAACATGTCCGTCGGATTTTAACTCCCTAAAATGTTTATCAAATACAACTTTTCGTCTTCAACTAGCGAGCGTATAAAATGATATTTGACGTCGATGTGCTTCGTTCTGTTTTGATATACTAGATTCTTGAAAATATGTATAGCGCTCTGGCTATCATAATAAAAAACTCCTCTCCTTTGCTTCAGATCCAACTCTTCCAAGCACCCGTTCAACCAGATCATCTCCTTGCTTGCTTCAGTCACCGCGACATACTCAACCTCGGTTGTAGATAAAGTCACAATCTTCTGCAGACGTGAGACCCAGCTCACTGCTGTCGACGCTAAGGTATAAACATACCCCGTGGTACTTCGCCTCGTATCATGATCACCGGCGAAATCCGCATCCACGTATCCCTACAGCACTAATTCCTTCCTCCTGAAACATAATGGCTTGTTCGTTGTCCCTCTCAAGTACCGCATTATCCACTTCACGGCCTCCCAATGTTGCTTCCCTAGATTGCTTACAAATCTACTCACAACTCCCACTACATGGGCGATGTCCGATTTCGTGCAAACCATCGCATACATGAGACTCCCAATGGCCGAAGAATATGACACCCTGCTCATATGCTCTCTATCTGCATCTGTCTTAGACGATTGCTCATCAGATAGCTTAAATTGACTTCTAAGGGGTGTGCTAACAACTTTAGCATTATGCATGTTGAACCTCTGAAGTACCTTCTCAATGTATTCAGCTTGGTTCAATCTCAATGTTCCTTCAACTTTATCCCTACTGATTCGCATCCCTAGAATCTGCTTCGCTGCACCCAAATCCTTCATTGCAAACTCCTTTGCTAGCTGCTTCTTCAAACTGTTTATCTCCTCTAAACATGGTCCTGCTACCAACATGTCATCAACATATAATAACAAAATAATGAAGCTGGACTCGAATTTTTGAAATAACAGCAATGATCCAAATTGCATCTTCTGTAGTCATTGTTCTGCATGAAGTTATCAAACTTTTTATACCATTATCTCGGAGCCTGTTTCAAACCATATAAGCTCTTCTTGAGCTTGCACGCCATTTCTTTCTTTCCTTCTTCAATGAAACCAACAGGCTGCTTCATGTAGATTTCTTCATCCAAGTCATCATGATGAAAGACAGTCTTCACATCTAACTGCTCAAGAAAGAGTTCTTCTGCAACCACCAAACTCAACACTACTCTAATGGTTGTGAGTTTCACAACAGGGAAAAATATCTCCGTGTAGTCCACTCCTTCCCGCTGTTAAAACCCCTTCACTACTAATCTGACCTTGAATCTCTTGCTTCCATCACTCTCCTGTTTGACCTGATAAACCCATTTGTTATGTAAGGTTTTCTTCTATACAGGTAGTTGGACTAACTCCCATGTCTCATTAGTGAGTAGAGAATCCATCTCCTCCTGCATAACATGCTCTCACTGCTGAGATTCACTCACTTGCATTGCCTCTTCATAGCACTCCGGCTCACCGCTATCTGTCAACAATGGGTAGTTAAGAGATAAAAGATATCTGGGATTTAGTTTGGGTATCCTGGATGACCTCCTAAGCTCCACGCCTTGGGTAGTTTCTTCTGCACCTGGAGCCTTCTCCATTCTCTGATCAGAACAAACATCATCACCCCTATCTGAAAGTTCCTCTAAATCCATGTACTCGGATCTACCTGTATCCGTAGTGCTGCTCCCACTGTTTTGTCTATCATTGGAATTTTTCCTGTTCTTGTACATCACCTCCTCATTGAATATCACGTCCCTGTTTCTGATGATCTTCCTGTTCTTCTCATCCCAAAGATGATACCCGAACTCATCAATGCCGTATCCAATGAATGTGCACTTCTGTGACTTAGCTTCTAGCTTGTCTCTGATATGGTCACTGATATGAACATAAGTCATGCAACCAAATACCCGCAAGTGTGAGAGATTTATCTTCTTTTCACTCCAAACCTCCTCTGGAATCCCAAAATCTAATGGAACTGATGGCCCGTGATTAATAAGGTAAGCTGCCGTATGCATTGTATCCGTCCAAAATGTCTTAGGCAGACCTGCATGTAATCGCATGCTCCTGGCACGCTCTGTCAAGGTCATGTTCATCCTCTCCGCAATGCCGTTCTGTTGCGGCGTCCCTGGAGTAGTCCTCTCTAAGCGAATACCATTAGTAGCACAGAACCTCTTGAACTCCTCCAGCTCGTATTCTCCACCATTATTTGATCTCAGACATTTCACCTTTAAATCTGTCTCGTTTTCTATCATGGCCTTCCACTTCTTGAAGATTCCAAACACTTCTAACTTGTGCTTCATGAAGTAGATTCACACCTTCCTCGAGTGATCATCGATGAAGGTGATATAATATATTGAACCGCCAAAAGATGATATACTAGGTGGGCTCCATACATCTGTATGAATCAACTCTAGTTTTTGAGCCTTAGGTGGCCTTCCACCCTTCTGAAAACTAACCCTCTTCTGCTTCCTAAAGATGCAGTCTTCACAAACCCTAACTTCCACGGAGTCAATCCTGATTAGCTTTCCCTGTGAATGTAAGATCTTTATCCCCTTCTCGCTCATGTGCCCTAATCTGTTGTGCCACGGATCTGTATTCCTTTTGCCAGCTATAATTGTGAGGGTGTCACTCGCATCTAAGGTGAGGTAGAGAGTTCCTAGTTTGTTGTCTCGAGCAACTATCATAGTACCGTTGGAGATTCTTCACGAATCCCCTGTGAATGTCGAAACATAGTCTTCTGCTCCAAGTTGTCCCACCGAAATAAGATTTCTCTTCAGCTTCTGCACGTGTCTCACGTTCTTTAAGGTCCACTTAGAGCCCTTCATCTGAATCAACACTTCACCCTTTCCAATAATATTACAGGGCTCGTTATTCCCCAAATATACTTTTTTAAAGTCCCCTGCTACATAATTCTGAAATAGCTTCCTGTTAGCAGTAGCGTGGAAAGAATCTCCTGAATCGATGACCTAAGAATCCGAATCATTGTCCATAGCAAGGATCAAGGCATCCTGCACGATATGAGCCTCCTGCTCACCCGCATCATTCTTTAGACTTTTACAGACTGAAGACATATGGTCCTCCTGGCCGCAGTTCCAACATTTTCCTTTGATAGGCCTAACCTTCGAGTTCGACCTCTTCTTCACTGATTTTGACCGATTCCTGTTCTGGTTTCCTTTCTTCTGGTTTCTGTCTCTCTGCTCGAAACTTAGAGCTGAACCTGAACCTTCTGATTCGGACGATTTTCTTCTAACCTTCTCGGATAGAATCATGCTAACAACCTCGCTCAGCTTTAACTTTTCCTTCCCCGTCGAATTGCTGATTATCGTCACACAACCTGCCCAACTATCCGGCAACTGCGATAGTAGTAGAAGGGCATGTACTTCGTCATCAAACGTGATGTCTACGGAGATAAGTTGATCAACAATCATGTTGAACTCGCTGAGGTACATCGTGAAGGATCGTCCTTCTGCCATCTTGAGGTTGAAAAGAGTCTTGACGAGATGCACCTTGTTTGCTGCAGACGGTTGCTCGTACATCTTCGCGAGCGCTTCCATAAGCCCCACCATCGTCTTCTCTTTCAAAATATTGTGGGCTACTGATTTGACGAGCGACAACCGGATTTGCCCTAGAGCCTTCCTATCCAGTATCTCCCAATCACCATCTGACTCCTCTTTCTTCTGACCCTTTTCCTTGCCCATCAACGGGCAATACAAGTCCTTTTAATACAGATAGTCCTCCATCTGCGACTTCCAGTAGGCAAAATCTGAACCGTCAAACTTCTCGATCTTTGATTTGTTTTCCTCTATCATGACTTTCACACAAATTGCTGAACGAAGCTCTGATACCAGTTGTTGGGGATTTAAAATAATCAAATCAAATTTGTACCCTTCCGGATCTTATGTTTGAGAGTTGAGCAAGAAAGAAATTCACCACAAATCAAAGATAAAAACTTGTAGGAAAGTAAACAAGAAAGAACACACCAGATTTAACGAGGTTCGGCAACGTGCCTACGTCCTCGGGAGCCACACCACATAATTCTTTGATTACTTGAAGAAGATTATAATGCTTACAATTGGCCTCTCTCTCTCTAAGATTTCTAACCTCAAAGAGCCCTCAAAAACCCTCTTTTTTTCGTGCTCTTTTTCTCTCTTAAACCCTAAAGGGACGTGTTTCTATTTATAACAAAACACAATCCCAAACAGATTAGGATTCTAAAACGAGTCTGCCACACCCTGGTGTGGCGCAGACCACACCCATGGCAGACAGGACAGACTATGTCACATCCTGGTGTGGCGCCGACCACACCCATGACAGACAGGACAGATTCTGCCATACCCTGATGTGGCGCAGACCACACCCATAGCCTATCTTGAATTTTCATGCAATTGTTGATTTTGATTCTAGGTTTGGGTCTCCACTCTCAAGACCAACACATACATACATGTGTCTTTATGGGTGCCGGCGTGTGCCTGTGTATGTACATGTGTGTTTGCCCTTTTTCTAGAATAATTTTATTCCATGCTTCTCACATGGTTCTTCCGAGCATATCAAACATTCAGATTTTTCTTTCAGATAACTGATGATACTCTCCGCTTCTATGCTAATATGCTCATTTTGAGTGTTTTTTGCAGTGATTCCGTATTGAAGCATGCAGTTGCTGATTTCAGGAAGATGGGACAGCGAATTTTTGTCTTCATAATTGGTGGGGCCACTCGATCTGAGGTAGAGAATTCATGTTCATTTGTTTTCATGCTTGTTTACATGGTTTGCTCCTCATATTTCCATTGCATCATTAATAAATCTTTGTTCTTCCATTTTTCTTTGACCAGCTCCGTGCAGTCCACAAGCTCACAAATAAACTTAACAGGGAAGTTGTCCTTGGATCTTCTAGTCTGGATGATCCTCCACAGTTTATTACGGTGAGTGTATGATGTCAGCCTTTGGTAGTTCTTAAGAATTCTAGCATGATGTGCATTGCTAGTGACTCTATATTGTGAACTATAACTCTATGAAAAAGCCAAATTTCTTTTCCGTCTACATTATTAAAGAATGTGAAAACCCTAACTCTAATTATGAGATCTTTTGGGCTTATATAGGCTCCTACACAACTTACAAATAAGTCCTTATATATTACTAATATGTCAACACTCCTCCTCAAGGTGGACGAAAGATAACCATTAAGCCCATCTTGTCACATCCTCTAATCATATCTAATGAGCTAAGTCCTTTAGTCAGACAATCTGCTGTCTGGTCCTTAGTTGAAACATGATTTAGCTCCAGTAGTCCACTATCCAACTTCTCTTTGATGAAGAACCTATCGATCTCGATGTGTTTTGTTCTATCATGCTGCACTGGGTTGTTGGCGATACTGATAACTGACTTGTTATCACACCACAACTTCATCTTAGTTCCTTGATCCAGCTTTAGTTCCACCAGCATACTCTTCAACCATAGTAACTCAGCAACTCCTAAGGCCATAGCTCTATACTCTGCCTTAGCTGTTGATCTCGCCACCACTGACTGCTTCTTGCTCTTCCACGAGACTAAGTTGCCTCCTATAAAAATACAGTATCCTGATGTGGACCTCCTGTCATCAGCACAGCTAGCCCAATCAGAGTCGCAATAACTCTCGATGCTCACATGTCCATTCTTTCTGAATATCAGCCCCTTTCCGGGGGCACTCTTTAAATATCTCAGAATCTGGTACACATCGTCCATATGACCCTTCCTCGGATCATGCATGTAGCGGCTCACCATGCTCACTACAAAAGAGATATCGGGACTTGTGTGACTCAGATAGATTAACCTGCCCACCAGCCTTTGGTATCTGTCACGATCAACTGGTTCTCCAGCTTCAGCACCCAGTTTGAACTTCTGGTCGATCGGTGTAGTTGCAGGTTTACACCCTAACATCCTTGTCTCTTTGAGAAGATCCAGTGCATACTTTCTCTGGGATAGGACAATTCCCTCCGCTCCTCGAGCTATTTCTATTCTAAGAAAGTATCGAAACAAGCCAAGATCTTTCACCTCGAATTCCTTACCCAGTCTCACTTTAAGTTGGGCAATATCCTTCTCATCATCCCCTGTAATAATCATATCATCCATATATACCGTAAGTATGGTGATGTGACCTTCATTTCGTCGAAAGAACACGGTATGATCGGTGTTAATCTGGCGGTATCCCATACCTATCATAGCCCGTCTAAATCTGTCGAACCAAGCACGGGGAGATTTCTTCAGGCCATATAGAGACTTCTTCAATCTGCAAACCTTGCCCATTGTCTGATCTGTGTCGAATCCTGGCGGAATTTCCATATATACCTCTTCAACCAGATCTCCATGAAGAAATGCATTCTTCACATCTAATTGGTGTAGCTTCCATCCACCATTTACTGTCAGAGAGATCAAGGTCCGAACAATGCTCATCTTCGCCACTGGTGCAAAAGTCTCATCATAGTCGATGCCATATGTCTGACTATATCATTTTACCACCAGACGAGCTTTGTAGCGCTCAACCTGTCCGTCTGGATTCTGCTTCACAGTGAAGACCCACTTGCATCCAACTGCTCTCTTCCCTTTTGGTAGTTTTACTAACTCCCAAGTGCGGTTCTTCTCAAGGGCCCCTAGCTCTTCGTGCATAGCAGCTTTTCATTTTTGGTCCTTTGCAACCTGTCAATTGTTAGGTATAGTAACAGAGTCCAGTGATGTAATGAATGCTCCATGTGCAGGGTGGATGTTAGAGTATGATACAAACTGGGCAAGATCCCAACCATATCTATCAGGAGGATTTCCCGCATTACTACGAGTAGTCCTCCGTACAGATATTGGTGTGGGAGGAGTAGGAAGAGGAATGATATCACCTTGAGAGGAATCTGGTGGTGGTGTAGGTGCCTCAGGAGTTGGGGCAGACGTTGGCAAGGGACTTTGCACCAGTGGCACTGTAGGTACTGTTCTCACAATTTGTTTCCCCTTCCTACAATAGGTAAGTAGCTCCCCCTGAGCTGTGGGCCTAACACCTCTTATCTCATTCTCCTCTTCTTCTTTATTCTCCTGCTCCTTCTCAACCAATTCTTCTTCCCAAAGAATCGTTACAGAAATTGATTTCTCTGATCTCTCACCATTCTCAGACATTGATTTCTCCACATTCACCAATCTCTCAGCATTCTCCTCCTCTCGCCTCATACTTCCAGTATTAGGCGAGTTACCAACGGATGAAGTTACCTTCCAGGTGTAATATGGCTCGAGTTCTCGAAAGTGCACATCCATGCTCACAAACAGCCTTTTCTCCACCGGGCTTCAACAAATATATCCCTTCTGAGTAGCAGAATATCCCACAAAGATGCATTTCACCGCTCTAGGAGCAAGCTTCCCGACGGATGGCCTGTTGTCATTTACAAAGCACACATAGCCAAACACTTTGAGTGGAAGAAGCCCACCATTATCTCCCTTCAATGACTCACACGGAGACTTCCAATCCAGCACTCTCGAGGGCATTCTGTTGATTAGTGCTGCTGCGGTCAACACTGCTTGCCCCCATAATATTTCTGGGACATTCATAGAGATCATCATACTTCTAGCAACCTCTAAAAGATGTCTATTCTTTCTTTCCGCTACTCCATTTTGAGCTCTTCTAGCAACCTCTAAAAGATGTCTATTCTTTCTTTCCGCTACTCCATTTTGAGCTGGTGTGTATGGACACGTAGTCTGGTGTTATATTCCCTAAGCTGACAAGTATTCCCCAAACGCTTTGTTAGTATACTCCGTCCCATTATCAGATCTCAATACCTTCACCACAGCGTCGTATTGAGTCTGAGCATACCTATAAAAGTTTTGAAAGCAACCAAACACTTCACTCTTATTTTTCATCAGGTACAACCAAGTAACGCGGGAGAAACAATCAATAAAGGTAATAAAATACTTGTATCCATTCATAAAACTTGTGGAACAAGGCCCACAAACATTTGAATGTATCAGGTCGAATGCACGAGAACTTCTATGACCAGAACTTACATAAGAACTTCTAGTAAGCTTTCCAAACTCACATGCATCACACACAAGGTTCTGCTTATTTGCTTTCTCAAATAGAGATGGATACAACCTACTTAAAACACTAAAGGATGAGTGTTCCAAATGCTGGTGATGAAGCATCAAAACACTCTCAGCACTCATCTCAGATCCTACATCTGCTCTCTCTATCATTGACACCAATGCTGAATCCAGCCCTTCACGATCCAGATACCACAGTCCACTACGTCATGTGTCAGTCCCAAGTCTCCGCCCTGTCCCCTTCTCCTGGAAGATCACCTTGGGAATATCAAAAGAAACAATACATTTTAGTTGGAGGATGATAGTATTAATGGACAAAAGATTGACTGGAAAGGAAGAAGCATGCAAAACATTGGACAAAGTTACAGAACCTGTACAATCGACTGTACCCTTACCAACCAGTGGCTGAAATGTACCATCAGCTGTTTGAATACTATCAGGCGATGCTAGGTGAGTATATGATGGGAACTCACTAGCATTACCTGTCACATGTCGATACGCACCGGAGTCGACTATCCATTCTGATGATCTGTCGGGAGACATAGAAGCAAGAGCATGTATGTCATCAGTACCTTTGGTTGGATGAGCATAGGTAGCAGTGTTGCCTCTAGCGAAGAATGACGTGGATGCCTCTTCTGTCCCACTCCTCATGTCTCCATCCCTTGCTACTTTCTGCTTCCTCCTGAGTATCGCCAGGAGCGTCTGATCCTCCTCAGTAAAGACCACCTCAGCTTCTTCTCCTCCTTCTGCTACCATCAGATTCGCCCGGTTGTCTGCTCTTCTTCCACCTCGTCGACCTCCACAGCCACGCACGATCACGCCCCCCCTCCGAACTGTCTACGTCCACCCGAATCTCCTTTCTTGGGTGGCTTGGTGCAAGCATGCCTTAGATGACCCACTTCACCGCAGTTGTAGCACTGCCGAGTCTCTCCCCTGGATCCAGTGTTGCTAGATGCTGTCAGTGCTAACTTCACCACAGGAAGTCCACATGTCCCTGCCTGCAGCCTAATGCGAGTCTCCTCCTGGATCATAGCCGAGACAGTCTCCTCAAGCGTGGGAATTTTCGGCTGAGCTAGCAGTAATGCAATTCGCTGGGCGAACTCTGATGTCAATTCCTTGAGAAATACCATAGTCCTCTCCTGTAAAAAGGCCTCCCGCTCTTTACATCCCGGGTCCTTGCATCTCGCCCGGGGGGAGAAGTGATCATAATCTAGCCACAGACGCTCCAGCTTTGTGGCATATTCCTGTACAATCCTCTCTCCCTGGACTGTGGCGTTGATCTCTCATTTAATCTGGAACACCCTCAGGTTATTCCCCACTCCATCATAGGTCCTCCTCAACTTCTCCCAGACGTCCTTCACCTTCTCAATGCCATCCACCGTGGCGGCGATCGTCGGGACCAACGAGTTGAGCCAGATGTACACCAACATATGAGTAGACTTCCACTCATCTCGTCCTCCCGAGTCCTCATTCTTCTCTCCTGTCAAGTAACCCTCCAGGTTCCTCCCTGCAAGGGTGTATCTCACCCGCCGTGACCAACTCAGGTAAGTACTCGGTCCATCAAGCTTCAGATCGATGGTCGGAAGCTCCAACTTCTTCGATGGCCTTGTCGCGCTCTCATCAGCCGACAACTTCATCAACTTCATCAAAGTTGACACCTCCGCAGGGTTCAACTTCTTGATGATCTCCTCCATCGAATAGGCTTCAGACCCACCACCTGTTCACCTTCTCTTCCGACCCTTGTTGTGTGCAGTGAAAATTTCGGCAGCACCTCTGCTGCACAACAAGAGTAGGAGCTCAAACAAATTCCCGTTTCTCAGAGGAAACAAGAACCAAAAACAATTATATATCTCATCGCTGTGAGATATATACTCTTCCTGTCATCAGTTTGAGGACTGAATCGAGGGAACCCATGCCAAACTCTATGGTTCGACATGGTGGCACCGGGGATAAGTGGGGGGGCTGTCCGTGGAGGGGGGCTGCGATCGGGGGAGGGGGCTGCCTGGGGCTGCGGCTACGATGGGGGACTGTGTGGGGGCTGCGCGCTAGGGTAAGGGGCTGCGATGGGGCTGGCGGCTGAAGGGATTGAAGCAAGGCCTGAGCCAAAGGTGGGGGGGGGGTTTCCGGTGGATGGGGTGCTTGCGCTAAGGGGGTAGGGGCTGCGATGGGGGAGGATTGAAGCAGGGGGCGGGGGGCCTTTTCGGTGGATGGAGGGGGGGGGCGGCGGCTAGGGTTTTGGTGGCTCTGATACCATAAAGAATGTGAAAACCCTAACTCTTACTATGAGATCTCTTGGGCTTATATAGGCCCCTACACAACTTACAAATAAGTCCATATATATTACTAATATGTCAACAATCATTATCATTGTTTGTTCTGTTTGTTTCTCAAACTGAAATCTTTCAATACTTAACTAATATTTGTTAAATGAAATAATTTTATCCACTGGTGTGTGTGTATGTCATATCATTTTTCCTTTTACATTGACTAGTATGTAACATGTGCTTTGCACATAATGTATATTAAGTAAGGATATGAGACTAAAACATTCGAAGGTCATCTAATATTGACATATTGTACTCGCCATGACTTTTTTTTTTAGAACAATGACAAGGAAGACTCAAACAGAGCCCCTAGTCACTCACTCGCCATGAATTTTTTGACATTTATATTAAATTTTCTCTCCACGGATTTGCATAGTTGTATAACTAATAGATTGATGTTTTTTCATAAATCAGAGGTGAAATCGGTCATAGATCTGTTTGTTTCCTATAAAGAAAAACAATACAAACTTCTCTCTCAATTATCGCCTGTGAAATCTTGTTGACTGTGAGGTATCCTAGTTACTATAATGGAGGGACTAACTCCACTATCAAAATTGTCATTTCCTCCATTTTTTTTCTTTTGATTCTTTTTGTTTTTTCTTTTGTGCATTTGAGCATCCAATATCGAATACTGTTATGCAACTCTTTAATATAATATATAATATATATATAATATATATATATAATATATATTATATATATATATAAGGATTGGGTATGGCTTGCGTACAAGCACAAAATTTGTGCTTGGTAGTGAGGTGGCATATATCCTCCACTCATTCAAATGGGGGACCACATTCACATGGGTTAACATGTGGTCCCCTAATCTGAATGAGTGGATGGGTAAATGAGACCATCACTACCAAGACACAAAATTTATGCTTGGTACCAAGTATACCCATTTTTCTCATATATATAATATAATATATAGTATTATATTATATATATATATATATATATATATGTGATTAGTCGGGTAAGTAGAAGATACATGAATGCTTTAATTATGGATTCATTTTCTCACTAGTATTTGTATAAAAAATGCACTATTAGTAGGTTCAGAAAGGGAGATGCTATAAGTTACTTTGTTAGCTAGGATTTAATTCTTGTATTGCAATACTTTTTACATGAAAAAGAAATATTAAGACACGTCCAAACTAAACCGAAAATCCAGAAGCACAGCAAAAGAATGTGGATTAATGTTGCTCCTTATCAGACGGTAAGACATTGTGTAAAAATAATAGTCATTTTTTGAGCCAAGCCACAAAATCATAAATTCCCTTAGCTCTTTGGACCAGCACGCTAGCCGTCACATTCTCTATTCGATGAACTGCCTAGAAATCTCATTCCTCGAGTCATGTGAAATATCTCTGAATATCATCCACAAAGTGTCCAAAAATCAAGTGTTCCGCCCCATTATGGATATCTCTAATTATTGCATCCGCATCTTCTTTAAAAATTACCTTCCCACATCTAGTGTTAAGAGCAAATATAATAGCTTCCCACACTGATCAGAATTCCACATGTTCAGAATTATCTCATATCCAATACTATGATAAGTATATTACAATAGTTAGTAATATATATTATGATAATTTATATGATATTTCTAGACTACATCAAGAGGTAACATTTATATTAGTATTCCCCTCCATGAATTTTTTATACATCAGGCGCACACATCAATATATTATAATATTAGATTAGATGTTAGATTTTTAATTAAATATTAAATTATTTGAAATTGTGATATAATTTATAAATAGCTATGATATTATTATCTTATATATTAAAATTGTATATTTATTGTATAATATCTATTATCTAAAGTGAACTATTTTATCTTACTTAACATAAGACTAATATGATTAAAATTTATAATATATATCAGTTCTTATGTTTAGTGAAAGAATAATTATAGTGTAATAAATAGAATGAATTGAATAAAATTTGAGGAATATGATTAAAATTTATAACATATATTTAGTTTTAATATTAGTTCTCATGTTTATTGTAACAATAACTATAGTGTAATAAATACAATGAATTGAATAAATTTCAAGTTATTATTGAGAATTATCAAAAATTGGAAGGGTAAAAGAGTCAATTAAAAGTTTTAATATCTCAATCCTTTTTTATAAGTAGTACAGATGGTGAAGCAATGTTATCCGATTAGATGCATCTATGGTGAATGAGTCTCCATATAAATTTTGCAACCCCCACCACCCCCACCCCCCACCACCCCCCAAAAAAAAACAAAAGAAGAAGAAGAAAAGTTTGGCTTTTTTCCCCGAGATAACCCCGTACAAATTAAAAATATCATTTTATCCTCCTTAAGTTTTGTCAGGTAACCCCTCTAATTAACACTGCAGATCTGACTGTGCATGTAAAAATGCTCTTGATGGAAACATAGCCCCTTTCATGACCTTTTAATACTTTTAATGGTAAGTTTCACAAAACCCCCCTTAATTTTAGTCCAGTTTAGGGATTTAATTACATTAGTTAATGATGAAATAATTTAATTTAATAATTAGAGTGTGAATTTCTGAATGCCATTTTAATTATTTTTAGCGGTACATCTGACTCCATTAGGGAGTTAGTTGAAATTTTGAAACCATTTGTGGGTTTTCGTAAAGACCGCCCAACTTAAGGAGTGGGGGGTGGGGGTGGTGGGGGTTGTTAAGTTACATTTTTTTAAAAGTTTAAAGGGCTTGTCTCAAAATTGACCAAATTTTAGGTTGGTTTTTGTGAGAATTGTCCATAGAATAAATCAAGCAGCATGATCCTGTTATTACTAGAAACCTGATGAAGTCCCAGCTATTATCTTTCTCACGGCTTAAAGTTTATTACTGGCATGATCGTAACCTGCTTAACTCTTTCTTCGGATTTCTGGATTTTTATTGCAGAAATTGAAGCTTTTGACCACAAATGGTGTTCATGTCTGATCCACCATCGTTGCATATAATACGAGTTCTCATTACAGTGTCAACCTTTCAATAAAAATGAAGTGAAGCTCAGTGTTATAATTTTGACTTTGCCTTTCGCGATCAGCAGGTAGATCATGATCTCCGGAGCAACTACCTGAAATTGTTCCATCCAGCAGGGTGATGTGAATTGTAAAATATTATATCTGTGATATAAAATGTTACCATTGTCAAGATAAGTTGTTAAAGGATGTCAAGAGGTTCAGAAATTTGTCACATTTATCCTTTTGATGGGGCATTTTGTAATGTGGGATCACGGTTCTCTTGTTTTCATCTTTTTTTTTTTTTTTTTGAAGTAAAAATAGTGCAAGGCCGCCTATCATTGTATAAATATTAAGTAGTTAAAAGTATTTATAGATATCTATATCTTGAAGTGATTTAACGATGATTCCTAAATTGGTAAGAGGAACGGACCTATGTTGTCACTCTACACAATAAAGGAGCAAAGTAAAATCACCCTTAGATGTACAAAAGGAGTATGCAAAGAAGAGAAAAATTAATAGCTCACATCAGTATAGTTTAACGCAAAAATTGTACATAAGTCCGTAAGAGGACTCCACCTGTGCACAAAAATCCTAAAAATCCCAAAATACAAAAAACCAAGTATCACTCCACTGTTACTGTGCTCGCTCGTGGTGATCAGGTCAGAGATCCCCCTTTTCCGGACGGTTGCGTTGAGCTTGAGAGCTCGCTTGGATGCTGCAGAACCTATCCAGAAAGCAAGATAGTAAGCTATCTTGGATGTCGGTTGATGGTGATTTCGCATGGCTTTGTTGAATATGAAGTTATTACCAGCAGTCCATCCATCTTGCTTCCTACAAATTCAAGCACAAATTGCTATCTGCTTGTTGAAAATGGATCACATTTTTCTTGGGAGTAATGGTGATAAGACGCCATCTACAGCGATGGCGGAGAAATCGATCGAGAAGTTTAGTTGCGTCCGAATCAAACAGCATATAATCAGTACAAATTTAGGAACCTCTTAATTTATAGCTTTGTTCGCCGATTCATGTCTACAAATTCGTCGAGTGTCAGTCACATAACGGTGTCGCCACCGCAAGTCCGCAGTCATAGTTAGCAAACTTGAGAAAATTTTGTATAAAGCTCCTTTTTTGTCTTTCTATGAAAATAAATTTTCTAAGGCGTGAAAAGTCAAAAGAGCCAACTCTCATTTGGTTTGACGGGTGTATCTGCATCCCCTACATGTATGGAAAGAGTACTAAAGGGGCTACTTGTTTATTTATCAACTCTTGAGAGGATAGGACAAAACTTCAAAACAGCACTATTTGCAAACTTAATCTCAAAAACCAACATGTTTCACATTTATTTGCAAAAAACGACCTGGTTTCAGCCTTGAGGCTGAAACCAGGTCGGTTTTTGAAAAAAAAGTTCACAAACTTCACAGGAGTTGAAGTCCCGTGAAGTTTGTGAACTTTTTCTGAAACTAGGGCGTTTTTTTGCAAATAAAGAAGAAACAACTTGGTTTTTGGGATTAAGTTTGCAAATAGGGCGGTTTTAAAGTTTTGTCCTGAGAAGATATGGCGTACGATCGCGTTTTCCAAGGGGCTCTAACTAACAAAGATGGCTCAACTCTGGTCATCATCTTCTTCGAGTTATACAGAGATGGACGCTCCAACAGCCAATAATACCCAAAGATGAGTTGGTATTCCAAACAAGCAAGTGATGGGAAATATGAGCAATATAAATTAAACGCATAAGAATCATATTATGTGCCGATCTTTCTCTTCATTCCAATTTCTGGAGAAACTGTTGGGGAATACCCGGGGCTATGCTAAACCCCTAAAAACAACAAGAAACACAGTATAGAGAAAAGTATACAATATTTAACAAGGTTCGACAAACTTGCTTACGTTCTCGGGAGCCACACAATTAATTTCTTATTAATCAACAAGAAATTACAATGCAAGAGCAGATCTCAAACTTGAGATCTCTTAATAAATACAAATCAACACTGTAGCTATAGTGTTGATTCCCCATCTTTAAATCCCCTCTAATTTTCGCCTTTCTTTAACCCCCCCCCCCCCCTTCCCCCCAAAATCTCTACTGTTTAGGTCTGAAAAGAGAGAAAGAGAAGACCGCAAGAGCGTAGGAGAAGCACACCACCGGACAAAGGGAAAACAACGAGAGTGTAGAGAGAGATTGTCACACCAGAGAGAGGACTCTGGGTTCCCTTTTATAGGGAACCCTAATCACAGGCTGGCGACAGGCTGTCACAGCTAAGGCCGTGGCTCACGACCTCGCCTGCGGGCGCACACGCTCGCCTACGCCTCAACCTCGCTTGAATTGCGCTCGACCTCGCCTAAAGCATGAGCACTCGAGCTCGCCAGAACCAACCCCGCCTAGGTCGACCTCGCCTGAGTTGATCTCGCGCTCGCCTGACGGAGCTCCTCACCTCCTCGAGCTCGCCTGACAGGTTTGGTCTACACCCAAACCAACAATCTCCCACTTGGAGACTAAACCGCCGTCAGGAGGCTATCTCAGCAAGCACCTTCTCCTATGTGGCTCCACCCTCATCACTTATGCATGAAGGCCAACTAAAGTTACGCACAACTCCAGTTTCTGAATGGTCACCGTCTTTGTTAACATATCTGGTGGATTCTTACTTTCTAGAATCTTCTCCGGTTTCAACACGTCATCTTCCAACAGGGGTCTCATGAAGTGGTACCGAATCCCAATATGCTTCATTCTAGAATAAAATGTGAAATTCTTAGCCAAGTGTATCTCACTCTGACTATCACTGTGCAAAACATTCTTCTCCTGTTTGAATCCTAGCTATGTTAATAAACCCTAAAACCATATCATCTCTTCGCTAGCTTCAATCACTGCTACATACTCAACTTCTATGGTGGATAGAGTGATAATCTTCTGTATCTGTGACATCCAACTAACAGTTGTAGTTCTGACAGTGAATACATAACCGGTGGTGCTTTTTTCGGTGATCGACTTCACCGCCAAAATCTGCATCTATGTACCCTTGCACTTCCACCTTTCTCTTACCAAAGTGCAAACACTTATGTGTAGTGCCTCGTAGATACCTCAGAATCCACTTGACCGCTTCCCAATGAGCTTTTTCTGGATTCGACATGAACCGGCTGACCACTCCCACTGCATGGCCAATGTCTGGCCTTGTACAGACCATTGTGTACATCAAGCTTCCAATGGCTGAGACGTAAGGAACATTAGTCATACTCTCTTTCTCTTCTTCCATTTGAGGAGATTGATCATTTGATAGGCGAAAGTGACTAGCCAAGGGTGTGCTCACTGGCTTGGCGTCGCCCATATTGAATCTCTACAAAACACGGTTGATGTACTCTGTCTGAGATTACTGCAAGAGACCTCTCTTCTTATCTCTCGTGATTTGCATTCCAATGATCTTCTTTGCTGGACCCAAGTCTTTCATGTCAATTATCTCTCGTGATTTGCATTCCAATGATCTTCTTTGCTGGACCCAAGTCTTTCATGTCAAACTCCTTTGACAACTGCTGCTTCAAACTCCTGAATGATCTTCTTTGCTGGACCCAAGTCTTTCATGTCAAACTCCTTTGACAACTGCTGCTTCAAACTCCTGATATCATCCATATCTGTACCTGCAACCAACATATCATCAACATCCAGCAATAGGATGATATAGCTGGATTGATATCTTTTGAAGTAGCAACAGTGGTCGGTGTTGCACTTCTGGAAATCTTCCTTGTGCATGAAGCCGTCAAACTTTCTATACCACTGCCTTGGGGCTTGTTTCAGACAATACAAGTTTTTCTTGAGTCTGTACACCAGGTTCTCCTTCTTTTCTTCTGAGAAACTTTCTGGTTGATGCATGTATATCTCCTCTTCTAGATCTCCGTGAAGAAATGTCGTCTTCACGTCCAACTTCTCGAGATAAAGATCTTCAATAGTTACAATACTCATCATTGTCCTGATAGTATTTAGCTTCACCACGGGAGCAAAAATATCAGTGTAGTCAATTTCTTCCTTCTGCTGGAATCCTTTGACAACTAATCAGGTTTTATATCTTCTGGAGCTATCATCCTCCTCTTTCACCTGGTACACCTATTTGTTGTGGAGTGCCTTCCTACTTGTGGGCAACTCAGCTAGTTCCTACGTTTGGTTTGAGATGAGAGACTCCATCTCATCTTTTATGGTAAGATCCTACTTGCTCACATCTCCACTTTGACAAGATTCATCGTAGCTTTTAGGCTCACATCTATCTGTCAGCAACAGATAGTTCATATATCTCATGTTAGGCACAGGAGGACGAAAAGATCTTCTCAACATCAGAGCTGGTGCGTCAGGCTCCTGCGCACCATTCTGTCCAATAGGCTCTTTTGGCTGAGGACCTTGTGCATTGGGTTCTTCTAAGAGGTTACTCAGGACATCATCTGCATCTACAAATATTGACTATCTCTTTGACTCATCTGTCTTGTGTATGTCCTTGTACATCACCTTCTCATTGAATATAACATCTCTGCTCCCGATCACCTTCTTGTTTTCATTGTCCTAAATACGGTAGCTGAACTCATCTTCACCATAGCCGATGAAAGTGTATTTCTTTGACTTGGGATCAAGTTTATCCCTACCTTGATCACTAATATGCACATAAGCTACACAACCGAAAACTTTGAGATGTGAGAGTTTTACCTCCTTTCTGCACCATATCTCCTCTGTTATTCTGTGCTCCAATGGAACCGATGGACCTCGGTTAATCAAGTAAGCTACTGTATTGACTGCTTCTATCCAGAATTATTTCGGTAGGCCTGACTGTATCTGAATGTTTCTGGCTCTCTCTGTCAATGTTTTGTTCATCTGCTGAGCTACACTATTTTGCTGAGACATGCCGGGCATGGTTCTCTCCATTCTGATCCTATGCTCATAGCAAAACTTTTTGAAACCGGTGTCTTCATACTTATCGCCATTATCGGTTCTGAGCTTCTTTATTCTCAGACGGTTCTCATTCTCGACCATGACTTTCCATCTCCTGAAAGCCTCAAATACTTCTGACTTATGCTTCAGAAAGTAGACTCACACTTTCTGAGAGTGATCATCGATAAAATTCACGAAGTAGTGTTTCCCACCAATGGACGCGGTGGTGGTTAGTTCCCAAACATCTGAGTGAACGAGCTCTAGCTTCTCCTTCCTAGGGGGTCTGCCTCTTGTCTGAAAGCTGGCACTTTTCTGCTTTCCAAGTATTTATTCTTCACACATATCCATCTTCACTGACTGCAATCCTAGGAGTTTTCTCTTTGTGTGCATGA